GTTCATCATTGTTCTTAATTTCCTCATTTCTGATATCAATACAAGGAATTATAAGTAAAAAATCTAAAACGAACAAATAAAATATTTTTGGGAAAACAAACCATTACAGTAGCACATTTTAAGCGAATCCAATTATCCCGAAATAGTTCCAATTGTGTTATTGGCGACGTACTACAAAGGCGATGATTCACCCGAACGCTTTTTAAACGTTTTTTTTTCAAAACGATATACTAAAACTTAAATTCCAATATGTTGTCAATAACCCTATAATGTTAAAATATGAACTGAATTGTGACATTACAATAGAATGTCAGTGTTGATAATTATACGTTTGCAGTTTTCTTTTGTAGATGTCTTACTGGTGAGACACCTGCTTTATGACAAATGGCTATGATAATATCGACGAGTGTGACTTGAACCCAGGAGACCATATATATGTATATAAGGCAATGTTTGTTTACTCGCATCACGGTATGTTGCTATTAACTAACTTACGAGTCGTTAAATTTGATTTGTTGAAAGGTAGATAGTTAAAAAAAGAACCTTGGTTTTGTACATTTTTGAAATCGATTAACAGGCATCTCCATGCAAATACAGTACGTATAATGATTACCAGAATAAACCGGGACATATTTAACATTCAGCATAAACTTGCATATGCACTGAAACTCGCATTTGTAAGTAATGAAACAAAATTAAGGATATGTTACCCATTAGTTCCAGTGATCAATTAATTCATATACTGTAAAAAAATAAAAAGTACTTACATCGTACAAATTGAGTTTTCGTGACATTTTGTAATTTCTTATTTAAAACAGTTACACTGTATATCAACAACTGTTAACCAATGTCAAGTACTATGCCGTTGAAAATTACTTGACAACTACAGTGCCGTACTAGATATATTACTATATTGAAATTATCTTAATAGCAATAGTAGTTATGTGTATAATTTGATTATTTCAGTGATTGTAGCGGGGAAAAAAAGTGGTGTTTGTCAAATCATACATTTTACTGGAGTTGAGAAGAAGTCAAAGAGTACAGCCAGGATTAGAATGACATCTCTTGAAGAATTTAAACAAGGCTGTAAATTACGATTATATAGGTTTGTGTAAAATACATAGCCATGGATTTGGTTCACTTTTATTATCTGCCATTAGTTATCATTGCTGTGAACATTACCTAAATCAAATCCATTTAACTCTTTAACTCTTCCAAACATACTTTGGAATAGTCATTGATTGTTTTAAAAACATTGTTAACATTGTATATTTAATGCGGTTAACGCTCCCCACTTAATTCAAAGCATCTCAGTGTGTGCAATGTGTCTAAACCGTTGTCCTAACTCATGATCATATCATGAACAGAAATTCTTTATAATAGTAAAAATCCACTACTGTAGGTGCCTTTATTTTGTCCACCATGATGGGCAATTTGATTGGAAATTACACGTCAGTGGGATAGAATATGCCAAGCTATAGTGGTTGGGTTGGTCAAATTAACGAACCTTGTCTGGCAAGGATCCATTCAAAGCTTTGGCTGAGATATGATATTTTGACAA